GCAGATAGAAATAGCAATCATTAACAATGATAAAAATTCTCTGTGTGTCCAGAAAGAGCTTACAAATAAATTTTAAGTAAAACAATTGTTAAGAAATTTAAGCAACAGTAACAAAAATGCTTTCTAGGGCTCTAGAGAAACAGCACTTATTTCTTTTCACAGCAGCCTCTTCCCAAAACTCTCTAAAATTAAAAAAAGGATATGTTTGTTTACAAAAGGATTGCAAAAACATTGTTTCATATTTGCTCAAGTTTTTTAGAAGACTATTTATTTTTGTGCCGCAGCATTTCTTTAAAGCAACTTCAGCCTGGGCAGTTTATGCCAACATTCATGTTGGATTCAAGGATACTTTGATATTGCTATAAATAAGGATACTGTGAATTGTGTGTCCATGGGGCCTAAAATAAAATGTTTCAAGGCCATGTCTCATGGCTAAAATAAAGTGAGCCGTTGCGAGAACAAAGGAGTCTAAGGGCTTCACTTTTCCCTTTGTCTTGGGTCCCTCAGACCCGCCAAGGAGCATGCCCTCCAGCTCTGTTCATTTCAGGAACTCGCTTCCCTTGACTTCCAGGCTCTTTGCAAGGCCTTGGGGGAAGACTTCTTCGGACTTATTGGACGAGAAGCAAGGATACGACTTGTTTTTCCAGCGTTTTTTTAAAGCGATATATTTAGGACGCTTGAGAGGAAAGAATTGGCCAGGCCTTTATTTATCTTCCTAACAGGTGCAGTTCAGACAGTGACAGAAGCAAGCTACCGAAAAAGAATGATTTTGCCAAGAATTAAGCCCCTCTAGCGTGCATTTGCCTCAGAGCGTTCCTTCTTACGACAGAGAGCTCAAATCTACACCACCCTTCTCCAGTACAGCACGGCAAAGTTTGCTCACGGGGAAAAAAACCATTGTGGCATTCATTCATACGATTTCTTTATTCCACATTCAAATCTTCAACGTGGCCTAAATGGACCACTCGAAGTTAGGAGGAAAAGTATTGCCCTTGATAAAATATCTCCTTCCTCTTCTCTCATTCTTTCCATTACTTCCTACAAATTAACTTTGCCCCAATTTGAGGGAAAGGTAATCTTCTATATATAAGATGACTTTTCCAAAGCAGATTTATTTTGGTGTTTGAAATAGGCCATCCAGGCTCATGCAGGTGGAAACTGAAGGTCAACGAGTAAATCTGAGAGGGAGTTTTCCCAGCACAAGAGCTCCTTTTCCGATGATGACTAAGCCTTGAGGGATGCTGAGAAATAGGCAAGAGGTGATGAAGGCTGCGCTACGTTCAAACCGGTTTGGGGCTTAGCAGAACTTGAAAATGTGAGGCCATCTCTCAGAACCAAGAAAGAAAGATATAGCAAAGTAAAAACTCCTATGGACTGGAAAAAATTATTCTGCATTACTATGTTCCCACTTATTTCTACTGAAAAAGCCAAGATAGATTCAATATATGTATGTTGACATAGCAAAAGAATCTGTAGGAACAACGCCATGCCTTCGGTTCCTGGAGTTATCAGGATGGCCCCTTAAAATGATGGTCATAAATGGAGTTGTATTTTGCCGTATGTTTGAGTTTTCAAGAAGAGATCTTACATGGAAGATGAGAAAACTACAGTGTCTTTTCCAAGGTTTTCGGAATGGCACACAAGCACCAAGGAGGGACTTTCGCTACAAGTTACGTACATAAAATATAAAAAGACCTGACATATAACAAAAAGTGAAATTCATGTTAGGGCCCCAACTTGGTGTTTTAGAAGAGAAGTCTTCCAGGTTCTGTAGAATCTGGCAGTCGACAAGTGTCTAAGTATATTAAAGAACCAGGCTTTATGGTTTTAATTATCATATACTGCACAGAGAAAATTCTGAGGAAATAATTTTCATGGGGTTAAGGGCCATTTGTAGTATTTTTAAACTATTAGCGATTATACCACAGAAAAAAGGCTATTGCAGTTTTCTAATTTCATGCTGGTAAAATTGCTTTTTGACAGGAAAAGAAAAATTTCCAGCGAAAGGTGATATTTTTACACAATAGAACCCAGAGGCAATTAACTGTGAGGGTTTTTAGAGACCACGTTGTGTATATCTCTGAAATACCAGCAACTAGCTCATAGTAAGTGCTCAATTAATGATTGACACATAAATGAATGTAGCCGCAAGGCATTCTGGGAGATTCCCATAAATCTCAAGCTTCCTTCCATATCCTTTCTCACTATTTGAATAAAATAACTTAATTTTACTAGGGCCTCAGGTTCTATATGAATCCAAAGTGTAAGATAGCCTTTTTATCTGGAACTGACAATACAAAAATAAAATTCTCCAAAGAATAAATGTACAACTGATCACAATGGAGAGGAGGGGAAGGGGAAGTGGTTACTCCTTAAAATTAACGCTTTTTTCTCCCCCAAAAGAGTTGCCAAATCATCCAGAATATTTTCAAGGTTCTAAATAAGGACTGTTGACTAATTACTTCCATTAGAGTTCCCTCGTTGAGGTCCAAAGTTACACATGTCCTTCTTCCTCCTTAGAAGGTCCCGCCCTCCCAAGACCCAGCATGAAGCTCTCAGAATTAGGCCGCTGTAGGTTGGGAAGTAGCTGAGACAGACCTCTTTTGCACCCTCAGGTGCTGAAAACAGCCTCTTTTCAAGAGTTGCCACATCTTCTGGATCCTAGGAGGGTCAAATCGGACCACATATCTTATCAAGATTCACCACAAGTGGTCCTGTCCTTCTCTGCATGATTCTCCCAGCTGTGGAAGAGATGTAAGCAGACCTATAGGGGCTAGAGGAACCTGCCCCTTGGGAGTGTTTCTGCAGATAGTTTGAAATGACTCCCAAGAATTGGTGTGGTGGCTTGTTTTATTCTGGAGGCTGTCTTTCAGAGGGGTGCTTTTATGGAACAAAACCAACCCAAGTGAAAATGAAATCGGTTAGTTGAAGGTGAAAGGACCAGAAGTGTTCCTGAATTGCCATAATCCTCACTCTTGTGCTGTCAACGATATTAACATGCAATGATTTCACCAGGAAAACTTTTCAAGGTTCAGCGCCTTTAAGAATCAGTTCTGCTGGTAAGGAAACAAAAAAATCTGTGTACTTCCTCAAAGGATTTTAAATATATCAGTAACCCTCTTTTTATCTCCACTCCCACCTTCCAAATTTAAACTAACCAAGGAATCTATGAGTATAATATTACTGTCTTGGGTGGGGGGACTCCTACACAGAATATCAACACATTGCTTCTTTTATAGCAAAAGATCATGAGGACTTTGGTATGTGTGTTAATTTGTTCAAAAAGAAAAAATATGTATTTTGGGTGGGCGGGGCCCTCAAGTTAAAGATATATATTCCTCTTTGTAGTTCTAAAATTTCATTGTCTCTAAAAGTAGAATGGATCAGATTGAGTTGTCAGACAAAAAGTAAAACTTTATCGCATCTAGCTATCAGAATACTTTAGCTTTATAGGCTCTCTCTTTATTTTTCAGCTTCCTTATTTTCAATTGGGCTTTAAAGTAACACATGCAAATGTATCCACTGAATGCAGGGTAATTAAAACAATATTCTGTCCTCAGTCAGGAAACATAGAATGCATTTCATCCAAATAAACCTTGAAGAGGCTAGTCAAGTGACAGATCAAATGAAAGGGACACTTAATACACATGTAAATCATTTGCATTACAAATAAGACACTTTAGCAGGGGTTGGCCTCACTGCCCGATAGTCAGGATTAAGTTCCCGTATTAATGCATGCATTTGCTGTGGTTATTTCGGGTGGAAGACTTCACCCATCAATGCCCTCCGCCACTAAGCGAAGCCAGCCTGTAAACCGATCACCACAGCCTGTCAACACTGCTTGTTTAATTACATAAAGAAAATATATTTCAAAGACTTTTGATCATTCGGTTAGTATTTCAACTTTAGGTTTAACACCTTGCTTCTTTTTCAAGGTTCTTCAAAATAATGGTGAAAAGCACTTTTAAGAATTAAAAATGAAAAAACTAAATACTATTTTTATGCTCCCTGAAAATCTGTCTTTTTGCTTTTATTTGAAGAAGTGAAAAATAAAGATTCAGTAAAGCGCTAATTAAAGCTAATATGAATGAAATAACGTTTTTAAAAGATGCTTCCATTAAAAATTAAACTCAATGCACTTGTGCTGTTAATTTGTGGTTTTCACTGGTCATTTTAGTAATTCTAATTCCAAGTTTTTAGGTTATTAAGTAGTAGTTTTAAAATATTGATATTTTTAATAGAAAGGAGAAACTGTTTATTGGAGGAAACTTTTCTTCTAATGAAGAATATTTTTATATTTTCAGCTTAATTAATAATAAGGCTACATATTATGAAATTGTCTAACATAAAACTCATTAAAGAAAACAATGACCCGCGATATTCAAAGATATTCTCTTTTGCTCAGGTGTTTGATGTCTTTCCATGCAACAATTTAATAATATAATAACTAATGAAGCTTCAAAAGCACTGATAAAAGCAAAAAATATCTGATCTGTGTATTTTAAATGTCTTTCCACAAAGAAAATGTAGGAAGTCTGGAAATGTCACAAATTCTTTCTTGAAATCTTGACCAAATTTATTTGTTAACCATTTAAGAAATCATTTCAGGCCTCTCCCACCCCCCACAAATTGCAAATAGATGATGAAAAATTTGCACTTGAACCTAAGGAAATACACTTGAAAATGCAATCTGCTCAGCATGAGCAATAATATCCTCAAATTACACTTTAAGGGTCCCTTGTAATTGAACAATAAAATTACAATTTGATCATTTTAGTCAATATTCCTTCGTAAACCATCATTATCAGATATTTTTCAGTTGGTTATAACTCTTCCTATATTTTTCCTCTGTTCTGTTTATCCTAAAGGATCTTTTCCTTAAATCACAGTGATTCTATTATGTTATAGTCTCTTTAAGAAATTGGACATTTGTTTGAATATACCAAAATAACCAGACTTTCTTAAAAAGCAGAACAAAAAGAGCTATGGAGGAGTCTTACCCTCTTTCTTAGTGGGTTCGGGCATGGCCACAATAAAATGTTATTCTCCAAAGAGTCTGTTCCCTTCCAGGACTAGTTGATAGAAACCCCACAAGCAGTCAAGAGATGGTGCAGGTCAGTGTGACAAGCAGCTGGGGAGAAGCCCAGGGCTTTTATACTCCCTCTGGACATCAATCATGTCGGCACCGCCTCCTCTTCAGCACAAGGATGCTGGACTTGACAGCTAAGAGGACCTTTCTCACATCTGTTGTCTGCACTCTGCTCTCTCGCCTACTGGAAGGAATCTCCTGTCGATCTCATGTGGTGATGAGAACACCTCTAACTTTCTAAATTCAGCTGCAGCTTCATGCTCCTTCTTCCTCTTCTCTTTCTGTCTGACAGAGGCAAATATCAACTCAGCCGTGCAAAAAGTTTGCTGTATGATAAAAAATTAAATTAAATTAAAAATTGTACTATGCTAATCCAACATATACCTTAATTTTCACTAAGATTATGAAGAAATGTCTCTGTATTCAGATGATAAGTTTATGCTCCCATTAGCTTCCATTTTCCTCCATTCTCAATTATTGGGCTCAAAATTTTTCTTTTTTATTAATATGTTAATATTAAGTCAAATTTCTATGTTGAATATCTTGTCTCATTTTCTCCTCTAAGAATAGTAAAAGTTTCTATTAAGAAATACTTAGGGGGCCAGCCCAGCGGCATAGTGGTTAAGTTCACGAGCTCTGCTTCACCAGCCCCGGGTTCACAGGTTCAGATCCTGGGCGCAGACCTAGCACCACTCATTAAGCCATGCTGTGGTGGCATCCCACATAAAATAGAGGAGGAGTGGCAACAGAGGTTAGCTCAGGGCCAGTCTTGCTCCCCCACCTCCAAAGGAATACTTAGCATTTACTTTTTTCAAGAAGTGTCCTTTAAAAAAATTACAGGGCATATAAAAGAATGAAGTCATGATATATGCTACAATAAGGATGAAGCTTGAAAACTTTATGCTAAGTGAAAGAAGTCAGATGCAAAAGATCACATATTGTACAATTCCATTTACATGAAATATCCAGGATGGGCAAATCCATAGAGTCAGAAAGTCAATTAGTGATTACCAGGGGCAGAGGGAAAGTGGGATCAGGAACGACTGCTAAGAGACGTGGCGTTTCTCTGGGGGAATGATGAAAAGGTTCTGGAATGAGAGAGTGGCGATGGCTGTAAATATGTTAAAAACCACTGAATTGTACACTTAAAAATATATGGACCATGGGCAAAGAAAGTAGTCCAGTAGCCATTGTTTTGTTTTAAGATGGCAAACAGACACACAAATCCAACTTAAGATATTGGTGGACTATATCAGATTTGACCACTTTCTCCCAAAACTCTCACGGAACTGATGGAGAAATATGAACTACCAAAAATGGGCAAACTAAAAAAGACACCTTACTTTCTTTGTCCACATGCATGGCACCTCAGAGGCCAGGACTAAAATTAATTTATATGAAAAGATGACTATTTGCTTGCCTTTATTAGTATGTGTTTTCGAGAACATTTTCAAAAGACTTTGATTGATTTGGACTGAACCAGCCACACTGTCTCATTTAATTTCTCTTGTAGCTGAGAGCACAGCTGGTCAGACTTAGCTCTGCCAAACTCTGTGCCAAGCCCACTTTTCATATAAGGATGGAAACTCAGCTTAGAACTCAACGGCATCATGCTTTAGCTATGTAGGGGGAGGGGGAGGAAAGCCAGTCAAGAGGGTCAATGAACATCGTCTATCAAGAAAGCCTTTTCTCAACCACATAGGGCAACTGTGCACATTGCTTTGCTTTTTAAAATATTTCTTTGCTCTTAGATACTAAACAGCCAAATAGCCAGAAAACAGCATATTCTGTAATACAAAGTTAGATGTGCCTTGAAAGAAAAAAAGTTACTTTTTTCCCCCTGAATTTACTATGAGGGTATCAATCAATAGATGAAACAAATTAAAGAACCTAGATTCTGAAGTCAGACCCTTGGGTTCTATTTTTGGACCTATCATTAACCAGCTGAATTAACCAGCTGAATTACTCTAAGAAAGTCAAGTGGCCTGTCTGGGACTCAGTTTCCTTTTGTGTAAAATGGGGGGCTTAAAAAAATGACCTCTGAAGCCCTTTCTAGGTTTAACATTGTGATTCTATACGAGTAGTCCCTAAAAACGAATCCTTTTTTTCACCATTCCCAGCACACTGAATACCACATATGAAATGGACATAAGGGCAAAGTGTCATATTGCAGAAGAATGTTTATAATGATAAGCAGATTTCACACATGCCGCAAAAGAGGTGACATGCCATCATTGGCTTCTGCGAAAACTCCATTGGGTTTTGAAAGCACTGATCATTTTACTGAAGTGAACAAGTGCCAGGAAATATTGCAACCCATGAAGAAAATATTTTATGACCTAGGGAACTTTTTAGTAATAAAGGACTTGATTATAAAAAGACAAAAACTTATTGAAGGAATTGGAAGTTTGGACAAATTCTAGGATAAACGGCTGTAGAGTGTGTTAGATGGCTAAAGTAAGATTTTAAATTAGAATAATAAGTAGATATGAATGATTTTCCCAGGACTATATTGTTTTAGGAACATATAACTCCTATTTCAGATGTTACACATCCATCTAGAAGGTTACAGACTCTTTATCTCCAGCATCACTCTCAGGGGAAAATGATCAACAGGATTCTTTTTTTTTCTTTTTTAAACGCTTTATTGGGGTTTTCCCTGTGCATTATTTAGGATTAGATTTGGCTGAATATACACAAATCCACAAAATAACAACAGTTAAATCAAGATAGAAGTATTTCTCACTCACATAAAGCAAGTCCAAAAGTAACTAGTTTAGAGTCATTGTAGTGGTGCCACAGTGTCATCAAGAATCCAGGCTCTCTCTTCCTGCTTTACCATCCTCCAGGTAGCTTCATGGTCTAAAATGGCTGCTAGTGCTCCAGCCATTACATCCACATTCCAGGAAGCAGAAAAAAGAAAGAAAAAAGGATTCACTTTCTTCATTTTAAGGAGTCTGCTTTGAGGTCCCACACAAAACATCTAATACATCCCACTGGCCAAAACTTGATTACACAGCATATTTGCCTATAAAAGAAGCTGGAAAATGTAGTCTTTCATTCTCAGTGGCAATGGGCTTCTGTAACTAAAGAGAATGAAGAGAATGGATATTGGATAGGCAAATATCAATCTCTGCCACATCTTTCGAAATAAAAGCAATAGTGTTCCCAGCACCAACCAATGAGCACAGAGAAGTATAAATAATAAGCCTTACCCTCTCCCCAACCTTGTCCTCACTCCAAGGTGTGAATTAGGGTATAGATTTCCCTGTGCTCATACATACACATACAAACTATGTATTCACATATCAGGAGTTCTTATTTCTGTTTTTTATTTTCATTACTCTTGAACTTGCTTTTTCCATTTACCTTGTCATAGACATCCCTCCATGTTAATATATATATAGACCTAACTCAATCATTTTAATAGCTGAATAATTGTTTGTGGTATGGATGCACCACAATGCCCTATATTTTCTCAATTTGCTTCCCTTTTGATGGACATTCAGGTTGTTTTCAGTGTTTCACCACCACAATTAATACTGCAATAACCACCATAGACTATAGCCTTATATAGAGCTACTTTTAAGTCAGTAGGCTAGATTCCAAAAAGTGAGCATGCTGGTGCAGATGCATAGTTTAAATCTTAATAGATTTTGTTAGATTACTTTCACAAAAGGTTGCCTATTCAATGCATCAATCAGCAATATATAAAACTTCCTTTTTTCTCATACCCTGGATGTTATCGTTTAAAAAAGAGTTGTCAACTTAATGAGTGAGAAATGATTACTCATAATTTGAGTATCCATTTTTCCAAAAGTAATATTTCATCTTTATTGGTGATTTTTATTTCTTTTTCTGTGAATTGCTTTTTTCAAATCCTCTCCTTATTTCATTAGCGATATTAACTCTGTCTATAATATGTGTTTCAGATAACTTTTCTCTCTCTCTTTCTCTCTGTTTTGCCTTTTGATTTTATGATGTCTGGCTGTGAAAGAATTCTTACATTTTTACTTATTCAAATCTGTCACCTTTTCCTCTATGGTTTCCAGCTAGATTTTCTGTCTTACTTAAAAAATTCTCTCCACCTCAGTTATTCAAATACTCTGACAAATTTTCTTCAAATATTTTTAACTTAAATATTATTATTGTGTGAATTAGGGTTCTAAACATGTTTATTTTACACCCCCAGCTTAACAGGGATTTATGCCAATACCATTTCACTAGTATTTTACCACTGACTTGAAATGTTAACTAGAGTATGTTAAATTCTCATGTAAACTTGAATCTATTTATAGATGCAGTGTTTATTTTGCACTCATCAATTTGTTTATTTTTTAGCCAATATTATACTATTTGGATTAGATTAGCTTTATGTTAAGGTTTAATATCTGGTAGGGCAAGTTCCCCTCTCTGGTCTAATTTTTCAAAATTTATTTGCAATTCTCCATTGATATTCTTCCTTATAAACTTTAAATTCATTTTGTCAGTTCCTGTCACTTTCTTCCAACACAAAGGATATTGTAATTAAAATTATATAAATAATTATATATTAATTTATGAATGATTGTCATTTGATAATATTAATCCTTCTCATCTAGAAAGATGGTTTATTTCCCAAGTCAGATATTGTTTTATAATTATTAATAAAACTTTATAATTTTTTCCTATAAAAATCCTAAACCATTCATGTTATATTTGTGTCTATGCATTTTATAGTTTTTGTTAGTATTTCAAATGAAGTTTCTTTTCTCTATTTCCATTTCTAACTGGTTACTGAGTATAAAGTTATTTGTATAATTATTTTGTATCCAGCCACCTAATCAATTATTTTTTTTAGTTCAAATAGAATTTTTAGGAAAATCACTTGGATTTATTTACTGTATAATATGCAAAAATGATAATTTTGTTTTTTAAATTTCCAATATTTATTGAATTTATTTTATTTTATTATTACATTAGCTAGAAGACCAAATATAATGTTATAATAGTGTGAGGGGTGGGTCTTCCTTTCTTGTTCCTGATTTTAATGGAAATGGGTCTAGCATTTAA